GGTTCAGATCCCAGCACTCATATCTTATCTAGCAGCACAAAAACATCTATGACTCTAGCTCCAGGGGATATGGTGTTCTTTTCTGGCCTCTGTTGACATTTGCAAAAATGAAGCACACACTTATGTATGCAATAGGCCCTCAGATCTTAGCACAACTGGCTCCATGATGGAAGTACCACTCAGGCCATAAAACTCAGCATATAGACAATGCCTGCCAAAACTAAAATGAAGATTCAATCCATAAAAGTTTATATTTCTGTGAGAGTCTGTAAATGTACTGATCTTGCTTTTCAGCTTCTGCAGTTCTGCTTCTAGCTAGCTGTTTTGTTAACCCAAGATATGATTTGAGGGTTTAAAAGCTCACCCTGAAAAGTCTTAGGGCTATGCTGGAATCTTGAACACCCAATGTAGTCACTAAGAAAGATTCTCAGCTGGTTTGAACCCGTATCTGAGATTCTCTGGTGGGTACACCACAACACATAGACACACACAAAACACAGAAGTAAAGCAAATCTTTTAAAGAATGCAAGAAAGGGAGAGGGCAGAGGTAGACTTTCCAGGAGGGTAGATGCAGTCCTCAGTCAGTTCTAAGAACAGTGAGTCCTGCTTCATATGAGACTGAAATGTCCTAAGTCTGGGCTTGCTGGAGGATGCCACCCCACTGGCAACACAACTTCCTCTGCTGTGCTCCTCTTCACTGGGACATGAGACTCAGCTTCCAGGTCTGACAACAGTGCCTTGGTCCCCATGGATGCCTGCTGCTCCCTGGAAAGGCAAAGAGCAAGCTAGGAAGAGGGAGAGTCAAGAAAGAAAACAGAGATGCTTAATGAATACCCTGACCTCCGTGCTCAGCAGTTGGGAGACTCAGAGCTGTTCCAATACCAACTATCTCTGAATTCCTCCAGAGATCTATCTAATATAAGCCCATCATGATGCTAGCAGGATTTCAAGATGTGTGTAGAATCTAAAAGAGCCAAGAAGCTCCAAAAGGACATCAATGGGGTCCTGCCACCTGCTGTTCAAGTGTATTTACTAGGAAGCTGTGGCACTCAACTCCCTGTGTCATCAGTGAAGGTCAGTCAACTGTAATGGGAAGTTCATAACAGACTCTACAAATGCAGTGCCACGGTCTCAGTACAGTTTAAAAGCACAGTCTCTTTTGAGACTCAAGGCAATCTCTCTCTCTCTCTCTTTTTTTTAGAGGAAATGCAGCATTTGTTGTGTAAAGGATTTATATTTATCAATCAAGGATGCAAAGCAAAACGAATGCCATTAAAATTAACCAAAATGTTGACAGTTGATATGAAGTATTATTTGCCTGGTGATGAAAATCTAGCTAAAGTTAATCAAGTAAGTTCCAGTAAATTCATAAGGAAAATACAAGACTTCTGATGCCATTAAAGTAATTATAACCTTTCAAATAACAAAGTATAATCAGTATAAATGTCTTAGCTTGGAGACAAAAATACATACATTGTGTGCCGAAAGATGATGGATCACAAAATATGGATAGTGGCTGTTAGTCTCTGTCCTTTGCACCCAAAGCCTGAGACTGGTACCATCACTCAGGAATGTCAAGGCAATCTCTTAATTGTAAGACAGAGGTCTCGGCATAGAGAACACAAGTGGCAGATGAGAATGTTGTTGTGTTTAACTTTGACCTTGAAAATGTTTGATCTTCCAAAGGCACTGCCAAGAAAATGGAAAGATGCTAAAGAGAGCACTTGCCTAGCATATCCTAGATCCAGTCTCCAATCTCTGGCTCTGAAGAGAGAAGGAGGAGGGGAAGGAGGAGAAGGAGAAAGAGAAGGAGGAGGAAGAGGAAAAAGAGGAGGAGGAGGAAGAAGAGGAGGAGGAGGGGGGAGGGGAAGGGGGATGGGAGGAGGAGGAGGAGGAGGAGGAGGAGGAGGAGGAGGCAAAAGTGGAGAACGTAGTGTTGATATAGGGAGCTGAGACAGCCTTGAACGGGTGTGTAAGGAGTGGGTGAAGTCCTGGGTGACTGTATATTATTGACCAGAACCCCAAGACCTTAAACTCACACCTTTCTCCAGCTGAGGCTCTGAGGTCTACAAAGCCTTTCCTATACAGGCCACGCTCAGAATTGGCAAAGCCTTCCTCTGGTTCAAGTACCAGTGTTTTCAGAGGATTGACCAGCGTGTAAGGATTGACCAGTGTATGCAAAAACTAGCAACTGATTTGTCCTCTTTCTTCAGGTTCTGATTGCAACCTGAGACCTTAAATGAGAATGTATAATCTCTCCTCCTCCTCATGAGTAAAATAAACCTGCTGAGTTTCCAGGTTGATGCTCCATCAGAGTGAGCATGGCCCACCTGATCCCAGCTTGTGTGTGTGTGTGTGTGTGTGTGTGTGTGTGTGTGTGTGTGTGTGTATGTGTGTGTCTGTGTCTGTGTCTCTGTGTCTGTGTGTCTGTGTCTGCCTGTCTGTCTGTCCTTTATTTCCTTGCTGTCCTCCTACTCAGTTTTCTAGGACCAAGCCATCATGTACACAGTAAAAGGGGGTTTTTCAAGAAAAGAAAGACTAAGAAGAGGAGGGAAAAAGAAGAGGAAGGGGAAGAGTGGAGAACAAGGAGGAGAAGAAAGATATAATTAAAGCATACAACAGCGTGTTAAAGAGCGGCTTAGATTAGTTTCTCACCATACTCTGTGTGGCCCAGATGGCTCACTTAATGACGTTGATTCGCCCAGGGAGTGTGTTCTTCTTCTTTCAACACATTAATAAAAATTATTTTGATTTAAAACACTTGCCACACCTCTAAGTTTCTCCCTTTAAAAGAAAGTCTTGAGCAAGCAGTTATTTTCTTCTAAGATGTAATAAATTTGTTTTATTATTCCTCCTGTTTGTTTTTGCATCCTCTTTCTAAAGACAATTCACATTAGGCCACTGTGTGCAGTGACAAAACATCCTCTGGCACCAGTGAGATGACTCAGCAGGAAAAGGTGCCAACCACTGAGCCTGATGATCAGAGTTCACATGTGGAAGGAGAGAACTCCTACAAGTTGTCCTCTGACATCCACATGTGTGCCACAGTAGGAGTTCAGGCTGCTACAAAATAAGGAAATAAATAACATGTAAAATTCTTTTTAAGAAAGAAAAAACAGAGTAACTTTTAATCTAACTATTTGAAAAAAAAATACTTGCAAGTAAGTTATCCAGTGATGGGATTGTGACAAGATAGGTCATGGACTCTTAAATTTTAAGAAAGAACCAAAGAACTCAAAACATCAGACAGAGCGTTTAAGCAAGTTTACCAGCATCATAGACAGTATAAGCACAGAGACACTGTGGTACAGGCAGAGATGCTTTACCAGTTGCTTTTCTTATTGCTGTACCAAATACCAAAGAAGGAGCAACTTCCACAAGGCCAGGTCATTTTTGGCTCAAAGACTGAGGGGATTCAGTCTATCATGGTGGGGGAAGCCATGGTGACATGGGGTAACATGGCAGCATGGTGGGGACAGTCGGGGTGTTCAGCTTGTTTGCATCTTAGACAACCAGGAAGCAAAGCAAAGCTACTGACAATCCTAGGCTGGCTCTAACCCTCAAGGCTCCTTTTATGCGATTTCTTCCTAATTGACACATTTCCTCCTTGAGAGTCTCCTTAAGGTCAAGAAGTAAAGGAAACTTACAAGGCTCTGGAAGACCATGAAACATAAGACTCAGAAGGCCCCTCCCCAGCTCATATAAACAGTAACAATTGATGGAGAGGAGATTCTTTGGTGGAACTGCCTACCAGTTGTGCAGGGAGCTCCAGGAATGCAGCTTTCCCAAGTCATCACTGATGCTGGGGTGGACTTTTCAGTGCTGCAGTTGACTGCACTGGTATCCATGCTCCTTTAAACGTCCTCACTCATCTCCCATATTTTATACCCCAATCTCCCTGGTTCACTGAGCTGGGGGGATTTGGGTCTGTTGTCAGTGATGTACTTGGGATGAATAGACATTTCTTCATAACTCCCCAGAAAAGGTTACAGAACAGCTCCCTAACCCAGTGATCAGCTTCGGATTACATCCCACCTCCTAGAAGTTCTCTAGCCTCCCAGTCATTGCCATCACCTGGGGACCCAGTGTTCAAACAATGGAGCAAGCATGTGAAGGATATTTCCCACCCAGTTTGCAGCAGATACTCAACACACTGAGAATTGTAGAAATTAAAATAGAAGCCACTAGTTCTCACCTCCTGCCACTCAGAATGACTGACAGTTAGGAAATAGCTGGGAAGAATGTGGAACTGGAGGCTCACCCTGGGTCTGTGGGAGCCCACAAGGCCTTGAATCGATGGGAACAGGTAGTTTCCTGTAAAGTCTAGTGGACATTTACATAGGACCACAGTCCACACTTCATGATGTCAGGAGTGACATGAAGGTTCGTGCTGATGCATGAACACACACATGAATACACAAACATAAATACATGTACACATGTACTCACTCACATATGTACCACACATACATGTACTCATATGCGCATACATGTGCACTCATACACACATAAACACCACATATACATGAGCTTATGCACACACATGCACTCACGGACATATACATCTCATACAAACAAGCTCATGCACATGTGTACTCATACCACATATACACACTCTACACACATGAGCTCATGAACTCACATAAGTATATACCACATACGTAAGCTTATGCATCTGCAAGCATGCCTGTATGTACACATGTTCACAACTGCAATGAATGTTCAATCAACGTTAGTCTTCCTGTGCTTGTTTGGGTACACAGCTCCACAAACTCAGGTGGAATAATGAACATCTTTAGCATCTTAAGAATTTAACCTGCCAGGCAGTGATGGTGCACGCCTTTAATCCCAGCACTTGGGAGACAGAGGCAGGCGGATTTCTGAGTTCAAGGCCAGCCTGGTCTATAGAGTGAGTTCCAGGACAGCCAGGACTACACAGAGAAACCCTATCTCGAAAAACCAAAACCAAAACCAAAAAAAAAAAAAAAAGAATTTAACCTGCTCATTACGGTAGTACAAATACTAAAATTGAAACTATACTGAAGAGATCAGCACGGCCCCTGTGCAAAGATGACAACACAAACTCATGAAGCATTCCCTAGTTTTAAAAATTGGCTATCAAAGAAAAAAATGAATTTAAGAAATAAATATGTTCAGCCAAGCACTGCACATGTTTTCAACCCCAGCACTCTGGAGGCAAAGGCAAGCAGATTTCTGTGAGTTTAAGACCAGCTTGGCCTAAAAAAATTAGTTTCAGAACACAAAAACTCTGTCTCTATAAACAAGTAAACAAGCACCCCCTTCCAAAGGAAATAAACATGCTTTAATTCATTTGTTCATTTACTATATTGCGATATTCAGAACAATGCTAATAGCTATTAGCAACTGCAGCACTGAAACTAATAGTTACTGCAAAGCACACAGCCACACAAACACTTTAAGGACACAAATGACAATTCCCACACCTCCACATTGTCTCCTAAGTGTTTGGTAGGAGCCAGTACACTCCACAGCCACACAGCCTCCCCACGCCTAGGGAGCTGGGCTTAGAGGCCACTTCCGACCAGATCATGGCCTTCCTGTTTCTGGCAAGATGGGCTTTGGAGTCACTGCCACCAACCAGATGCTTGCTTATTCTTGCTGTAAATTGAACTTCCCTTGTCTCAAGTGAGCACCTTGCCAAATGCTTATTACAGTTTCAATGAACAGCTAGGCCTGGTGCCTCAGGCCTCTTATCCCAGCTGCAGGGAAGGTGGAGGTAGAGGAATCTCAAGTTCAAGACCAGCTTGGGCAACTTAGTGAGATCCTGTCTCAACATAAAAAGTAAAAAGAGGCCTAGAGATCTGAGTGGTCGATCACTTGTGAGTCCTTCGGTTCCATTCCCAGAAATACTACCCACCCTCCCAAATGCTCGGATGCACTGCTCTAGGAGATGCCTGCTCAGGTCACTTGCTCTTTTTGATTCGGTTACCTGCCACTCCTTGATGTTTTCCGGGAGTCCTTTTGGCATGTGGCAGCTACCCGTGCACCACCGCCCTACTCAGCACGGCATTCTTCACTGCTTATGGGATTTTTTTTTCCATTTTATTGAGCTGTGACAAAGTAGAAAATATACACATACCAAGAGCTGAATGAGCTCATTCGGTCACAGCTGCCCTCTCACCCCATATTGGAGCTGGACCCCAGTATTCCTTTCTCCATAATTGCAGGATGTCAGTGTGATGTACATTCGGGAGGAATCAACTGCCTGCAGCCTCCAGTCCACCCACGCCCTCTGCAGGTGACTGTGGCCAGGAGCTCAGCTCTGGTCAGCAGGCTGCAAACGTGTTCTGTAGCTCCTGAGCAAGGCTCAGGAGACAACAGCAGTTTGTCCCTTTGATTCTTCTTTAAAAAAAATTATTCATTTGTGTGTACCTGAGTATACACACATACTTTCACATACACATGCACTTGCACACACAATGCACTTGCTTACAAATACATGCTATGCGCAGATGCACCCATATACACACAGGTACTTGCAAGCATACATGTACTCCACACACTGACCCGTATACACACATACAGATACACACACATGTACTCACATACACATAGGTACTAGAACACATGAACAGTGGAACACTCATACATGTTCCCCCTTTGGATCTGGGCACACATATGTATACACATGTGCCCATATACACATGCACCCCAAGTATATGCAAACACATACATACATACCTGAAAAGGCATCTGCCCAAATGCACCTGCCATGCACCAAAACATATATGCACATGGGTACACAAATATACTATGGGTCTCAGGATGACCCAGAAACCCAAGTTCAAGCACAGGTACAGAGAAGTCTACCAGGTATCCCTTAGAAGCTGGCAAGCAAAGTCAAGGAGAGGAGGCCCCTAGTACCAAATTCCCAGGACCCACAAGCCTAAATATTTTGGTGACCAAGATACCAACTCAGTGGCTGGAAATAAAGGGGCTCTGTGACCCTGCCTAGCTGGGAGCCACAGGCCCGAGGCTGACCCCACTGTTTGCCCTTACACATCTCTGAGCACTCTCCTAAGGATGACCTGGAGCATCTGGTAGGCCTGCTGGACCCTTGAGGCTGTTTCTAAAGCTTGGGAGTCTTGACGGGGCTTCCAGAGAAGGCACCTGAGGAGGGAGAGGCTGATGAAGGCCCAGCTCAGACAGACAGGATAAACGAGAGAGGCAGCAGACTTCAGCTTCTCTGCTCCTCCATTCACGCAGACCCTGGTCCTACAGGAGCCTCACAGGTAGAGGCATAGAGCACCTTGGCCCCAAAAGAGGCACAGAAAGGCAGCCTCCACACATAGTTTGGGCACACTGCGATGGGCAGGGTCAAGAAAATCAGAAGAGGGCCATCTAGAGGGTGCTAGGGGAGAGTGGGCCTCTTCTCCATCCTGCCACACATGGCTGTGTTTGATTTTAGACCAGGTTCTGGTCATTGTCAGATGCCATGTGTCTTGTATGGAACAAAGGCTATGGCTGTGCTTAGGTTACATGCAGAACAGGGTTGGGGAAAGCTGGGCTCTAGTTCAAGCACTAATTTAAGAGGCTGGCAGCCCAGCCTGTGCCTGTGTGCACCCTCATCTGCCAGCATCTACCCACAGGGCCAGGGTCTCTAGCATGCCAATAGCATGACAATTTTACCAGAATCCTGCCAGGTGGGGCAATGTACCTGGGAGCTGTGAAACCCAGATATGTTGTTGTGGCAGGTTCATGGCCTTGACTCACCACTGCTGAGGTTAAAAACCCACACTATTGCTTTATTCTCTGGAGGTCAAGATGGCCCTTTACCTTTCAGCTTGAGAGTGTGTGTGTTCACGCATGGCTGTGCTTGTGAATCTGCATATCTGCAGTTTTTGTACATGCACATGCCCTTGAATGTGACCCTATGCATACTAGACACAGGGTAAGGGATCTGGCTGCACTTCCTGGAGGGTTCAGCGGCTAGATGGCAGGTGCCTCACCATGTGGTCCAGGCCTCTTGCTTGCCTGGCTCCCTTGGGGCCTAATGTCTGCTCTTTACCTTCCTTGCTGCAGGTCAGTGAAGTCTCCTTACCTCAGCCAGCACCTGCCTGGCCCTCCATAAGCCTTGAACCACACCTGTTTTCTGGCTGTTTCTGCCAACTTTCTCTACCTGATCTGTGAGCCTCTAGCCCCCCAACAACAGACAGCATGGTCCTCTGCTTTCCCTGGTGGTAAGGCTGTCATTGCAGAGGGTCTCTCCTCCACCTAAAGGGTCGATCTCCTCTTCATTATATTAGACAGTCCTCTCTCCTGGTTCTAGCACACCTGCTTTTCTGATCTGGAATATGTAAAGGCATCTTCTCTGAAGTGTTTCTCACTCCTTCTCAGCAGTGGCCTCTGATACCTCAACACTGAGGCCTTCCTTGGCCTTGGCCTGACCCTGGGTTGAAGACTGAGGAAGATTCAACTAGGATGATAAAATCTCTTACAAGAGAGCTGATGTCCTGGGTCCCAATTATTTCCCTATTTACTTGGAGTTTGTTTGGAAGAGTCGGGGGGATGGCATACCTCAAGTTTTCCCTCTCACAGATTTTTTGCTCAGAAAGCCAGAAATCTGAATATCCAGGGGCTTAGGACAGGCCCTCTGTGAGAAGGAGAGTCAGGTTGCAGCGCTTCTTGGGACCCTGCAACAGGCATGTGTACAGAAGGGGGCGCCCAAACGCCTGCCAGCCTTCTGGTCTGGGCTGCGAAGCCAAAGAGGAGGAGGCCCAGGAGTGAGCAGGGGTCGGGAAGGAGCGGGAGGTCAGGCCCAGCAGCCTGCAGACAGCAGGGGGAGCTGGGAGTCTGGCTGGTTCAGCCTTGCCTGGGGCCTGAATCTGCCTGGTGCCCGCTGTGCCCAACCTCTGGGTGCATATTGGATCATGGTTCCTCCATCCTCATGCCAGTCCTAGGACAAGCACTCAGCCACCTATAGGGAGCATCTAGAACCACCACCAGGCTCCAACATCTGTGAGTCAGGCTTCCCTGGGAGTTTGGGGAAACCTGTGTCCTCAAAGAGAGACTATGGGCCTTAGTTATCTGGGTCCCTTCCCATTTTTTTATCCTGGAAGCTTCTGTCGTGGGTGCAGGGGAATCTCTGTAACTCTCTCTCCAGGGGTCTTTATACTATAGTACCCTGCAAAGCAGGGTCTGACACACCAGGTATCCCCTTAGGGAAGAGTCCCCGCACAGAAGGATCCCCTAGAGTAGGATTCTCACACAGCAAGATGGCCACATAGCATTGTCCCCACACAACAGGCTTTCTGTACACCAGGGTCCCCCTGGAGCAGAGTGCTTACATAACATAGTTCACAAGAGTGGGGACCTATCTAGGATTCTCCCCAGAGCAGGGTCTCTACACATCAGAATCCCACAGGACAGGATCCCACAGGACAGGGTCCCACAGGACAGGGTCCCACAGGACAGAGTCCCACAGGACAGGGTCCACACACACAGCAGGGTCCTCTTAGAGCAGGATCTCTGTACAGCAGACCCCTCTCCCCCAACAGAGTCCCTGAACCGCAGAGTGCCCACATAGAAGAGTCTCTGTACAGCAGGATCCCCATAGCAGGGTCTCCCAGAAGAGGGTTCTTTCCCACACCACATAGCTGAAGTAGTCCTCACAATACCTTGTCTATCAAAAATCCCACCACCCAAGTTTAGAAAAACCTTAACCACCATCAAAAGAACCTGACTTGTTTGATGGGGCTTCTTGTCTATTCTGGCAAAAAAAAAAAAAAAAAAAAAAAAAAAAAAACAGGTAGTCTCAGGAGCCAGATCTCTGGGACTAAGGGGCACCTTGGGACATGGGGACATCAGGGACAGCAGGGAGCTAAGATCCTGAATGACCAGCAGGATGAGAAAGAGACCAGGACCAGAATACAGGTCCAGAGCTATAGAGAGCAAGTCAGGCTAGCCAGGCAGAGCAGGAAGGCAAGACACTCCAGACTGGGGGATGTAAGAAGGGACCCAAAGGTCTGGCCCCGGTAGTCTCCCTGACCCAGACACACTAACCAAGTAGCTACCCAGATAGCCAGACACGTGTTCTCACATTTGGAGAGCATGGATAGTCATCT